CTTCTATTTGTTTACTCATTTCGTAAATCATGTCAATCTCTTGAGTGCTAGCATTTCCCTTAACGAAGCGCCACATGATTTTATTGAGCCAACCCACTCCTTCCCGACATGGAGTGCACTAAACATAGATCACATCATATCATATACAGTGTATATTGTATATTGTGGTCAGACTGTCACTCACTTGACCACAACTCTCGTGTTTGTAGAATGTAAGGAGTCTTGCAATCGCTTTAACCACATCTGTCTGTCTGTTCATTACGATTAGAGCAGCGGTTCCCAGACCTGACTGAGCGGCTAATAATGAGTCGAAATCCATGAGCACTTCTTCGCACACTTTCTTCGGTATGATAGGAGTGGAGGAACCGCCGGGAATCACACCTAACAGGTTATCCCAACCGCCGATCACACCTCCGCAATGTCTTTCAATCAGATCCTTCAACGGTATTGACATTTCCTCCTCGACAGTACACGGATTATTCACGTGACCGGAAATGTTGAACAGCTTTGTGCCGCTGTTTCGCGTCCGACCGAACGACACAAACCAAGAGCCGCCCCGACGACAGATGGTCGGCGCGACCGCTACTGTCTCCACATTGGATACAGTTGTCGGACAACCAAACACTCCGATGTCTGCAGGAAACGGGGGCTTAAGGCGAGGCTTTCCCTGTTTGCCTTCTATAGACTCGATAAGTGCGGTCTCCTCTCCGCNGTGCTTTAGTGAGCATTTGGTCCAAATGTTTCACTTTGATCTTCTCTGGAAGAATGTCCTGAAGGAAAGCCATGCGCTTATGATTGGACACAACATGAGCCAAGTCTTTGTACTCCAATTGGTCTCTTCGGTGACTATCATTGAATGAGTCCTTAACTAATTGACTGATAAATAGTTTCTGTGAATGAGAGGAGAATTGTATGAATAGTTGAGTGTATGGTATATATGAGGGAATGGTATTGAATGGCATTGAATGGCATTGAATGGCATTACCGCTGAAAGTGCTGTCAAAGCGATGGCTTCGGGACTAATGGACGACACGTGAGGTGACGATCGCATGATTGTCTTCACACGACTTAATGGTAAGGTTGAGGAGCGAGTGGTCGGTCTTCGCGAACACATGTCTACACTATTTGTTTGCAAATATAACACAAATACTCTGATATACACAATATATGACAATAAATGACAACCAATTATATGCACTCAAAGTACATATCATGTACTTTATGTGTGTTTACTGTAATTGTATTGAATGTATTGATTGAATAGTTGGCCAGATATGAGAGCATTGATGAGTTCGCAACGGATCCGATGGGGTAAGTGTTGCCACAAATGAGACAATGAGTGGTATGTGTCATATGATTGATATGATTGCCATTTGTTGCAGTCCTCCAAAGGACAGAGTTGTCGATGCGATCACATCGATGTCAGAGCTCTTCCACTCAAACCTCGGCAAACACTCCTCAAAAGGTATGCTATTTGTTGCATGTGTTGGAAGTGTTGGATGTGATAAAGTGATGATTTGATGATTGTGTGGTTGCAGACAAAGTTTGGTCCACTGGAAGACTCGGACCGGATATTCACAAATCTGTACGGAAGACATGACTGGAAACTGTCGGGCGCTATGAGACGGGTATGTGTTTAGTACTAACGTTAATGATAGCAATGATGGCTATAATGGTTATAATGGGTTGATTTGAAGGGCGATTGGTTTAAGACGAAAGAGATCTTATTGAAAGGTCACGAGTGGATCATTAATGAAATGAAGACATCGGGACTGAGGGGTAGGGGTGGCGCCGGATTCCCTACGGGTCTGAAGTGGAGTTTTATGAACAAACCGGCGGACGGGAGACCCAAATATTTGGTGGTAAACGCTGATGAGGGCGAACCGGGAACCTGTAAGGACAGGGAGATTATGCGTCACGACCCGCATAAGCTGATTGAGGGCTGTTTGGTGGCCGGACGTGCTATGGGAGCCGTTGCCGCTTACATCTACATCAGGGGTGAGTTTTATAACGAGGCCTCCAATTTACAACTGGCCATTAGAGAGGCCTATGAGGCCGGTCTCATCGGTCGCAACGCCTGTCAAAGTGGGTACGACTTCGATGTGTACGTCCATAGAGGGGCCGGCGCTTACATTTGCGGAGAGGAGACCGCACTTATCGAGTCTATAGAAGGCAAACAGGGAAAGCCTCGCCTTAAGCCCCCGTTTCCTGCAGACATCGGAGTGTTTGGTTGTCCGACAACTGTATCCAATGTGGAGACAGTAGCGGTCGCGCCAACCATTTGCCGTCGGGGCGGCTCTTGGTTTGTGTCGTTCGGTCGGACGCGAAACAGTGGCACAAAGCTGTTCAACATTTCCGGTCACGTGAATAATCCGTGTACTGTCGAAGAGGAAATGTCAATACCGTTGAAAGATCTGATTGAAAGACATTGCGGAGGTGTGATCGGCGGTTGGGATAACCTGTTAGGTGTGATTCCTGGCGGTTCCTCCACTCCTATCATACCGAAGAAAGTGTGCGAAGAAGTGCTGATGGATTTCGACTCATTATTAGCCGCTCAGTCAGGTCTGGGAACCGCTGCTCTTATCGTAATGAACAGACAGACAGATGTGGTTAAAGCGATTGCAAGACTCCTTACATTCTACAAACACGAGAGTTGTGGTCAAGTGAGTGACAGTCTGACCACAATATACACTGTATATGATATGATGTGATATATGTTTAGTGCACTCCATGTCGGGAAGGAGTGGGTTGGCTCAATAAAATCATGTGGCGCTTCGTTAAGGGAAATGCTAGCACTCAAGAGATTGACATGATTTACGAAATGAGTAAACAAATAGAAGGCCACACCATCTGTGCATTGGGTGATGCGGCCGCCTGGCCGGTACAGGTACACCACAGCCACCACAACCACATCCCAAACATTTTACTAACTATTATCCATATCTTATGTCTTTAAGGGTTTGATTCGTCACTTCAGACCTGAGATTGAGGCGCGAATCGAGGCATACGCTCAGACTCAACATCATGTCCGGAAGGCCACCGCAAGTGTCAGCTAATAGTTTACTCAAATTGTTTAATTTGTTTATTAGTTTTTGTTGTGTAAACATTAGTAAATAAATAGATAATTAATTTATAAACAATTGTTGATCTTGACCCTTCTCTCTCTCTCTCTCTCTCTCTCTCTCTCTCTCTCTCTCTCTGAAATATTTCAATAAACAAACTTTGTTGCTAAAACATAACTCCAAAATTGTAAGTATTGCTTAATATGATTGCTATAGGTGTACGTATAATACTTGATTGCCAGTATTGCATCGCTAGTACAATAAGTATTCATTGCAACAACATTGAAATAGCATTGAAACATTATGATAGTAAACACATAATTCGTGAAAACTAGAGTGACCATATGTATTGATGAAATTTTCAGTAATATCATTAACGTATTACATTTGTGCCATTATTAAATGGTAATTTATTTAGCTTGAGAAAAGTGGCAATTATTGAAAATTAATAGAAATATAACTTATAAATATAAAAACACGTTTACACCGGAAATGACCCGCATTAAAAGTTGTTTCACATCTGGGTGTCATTCAGACTATCCACCCATTGGAAGCGCATGCGCAAAGTAGTACTTTTTTATACTACAAAACAAGGATCACACAACAATTCGAGTGATGCATATGATTATCGCTGTCCATTACTAATCATTCAAATGAATGCATATACTGCATTATACACAAACAAATTGATGCCAAATATTAATAAAATTGTTGATAAATTTTAAGTTTAATTAAAGTTTAATTACAAACACTATCCCAAATCTCATTAAAATGTGTATTTAATAACTAAATGTTTGATTCTTTACATGTAAAACCCAAATGACCTTTTAATGATATAGTGAGAGCCAACCACTATAAAAATAAATGATAAACCATTGAATTGACCTTCACGTGTTGTCCCTTGTTTAAAACTGACAAACCTTAACCTCTTTAATAGCACACTGTAGATGTATCAATCGCAAAAAAGGTAGTCGATAACACAGGTGAGAAAATATTAATTTGCCCTCACGTGGTGTTTCTCGTTTAAAACTGACAGTGGCGGCGCCTATTTATGGCGAACTGTGAATTTAAATCTGGCTAACCTAAAAAAGTTTGGCGACAAGGATTGTACTGTATAAAAATGTAACATGCTTATAAAGTCGAGAATTTGTTCAAGTAATAGTTTTTTAAATTATCTATTGGTCACTGGAATTGATGTGACTTGTGGTGAGTCTACACGTAGTAGTGGTGTAACAATTGCTCAACACTTGCAGACTTGTATTAATATGACTGTAAATATAGTGATTACGCAAAACACACACTTCCAGTGGACCAAACTTTGTCTGCAACCACACAATCATCAAATCATCACTTTATCACATCCAACACTTCCAACACATGCAACAAATAGCATACCTTTTGAGGAGTGTTTGCCGAGGTTTGAGTGGTAGAGCTCTGACATCGATGTATGGATCGCATCGACAACTCTGTCCTTTGGAGGACTGCAACAAATGGCAATCATATCAATCATATCACACATACACTCATTGTCTCATTTGTGGCAACACTTACCCCATCGGATCCGTTGCGAACTCATCAATGCTCTCATATCTGGCCAACTATTCAATCAATACATTCAATATTATATACAATAACAGTAAACACACATAAAGTACATGACATGTACTTTGAGTGCATATAATTGGTTGTCATTTATTGTCATATATTGTGCGGTAATAGTAATACAGTTGTAGTGTTCATACAATTGACACAAACAGTGTAGACATGTGTTCGCGAAGACCGACCACTCGCTCCTCAACCTTACCATTAAGTCGTGTGAAGACAATCATGCGATCGTCACCTCACGTGTCGTCCATAAGTCCCGAAGCCATCGCTTTGACAGCACTTTCAGCGGTAATGCCATTCAATACCATTCCCTCATATATACCATACACTCAACTATTCATACAATTCTCCTCTCATTCACAGAAACTATTTATCAGTCAATTAGTTAAGGACTCATTCAATGATAGTCACCGGAGAGACCAATTGGAGTACAAAGACTTGGCTCATGTTGTGTCCAATCATAAGCGCATGGCTTTCCTTCAGGACATTCTTCCAGAGAAGATCAAAGTGAAACATTTGGACCAAATGCTCACTAAAGCACTTCCACAGTGATTGTGTACTTCTATTGTTATTATGCTATCAGTAATACCACTGAGGAATGAGTCCTTATTGTAATCTTTTTAATAATTTATTAATAAAATAATGAAATGATTGTTCAAAATATAATCACTTTTAGTCCCAAATTATGTCAAATGTTTTGTCAGTTATAATGTGTTGGACTAGGAATGAAGCCATTGTAACCCAGGTTTGGCTAAATTCCTCGATTGGGTAAGTCTTTCACTTTATAGATCCTAACCAACCAGTGCTCTGTAGTGTACGCCTCTTCTAATACTTGCAAATCAAAGTCTTTGTTCCCGATCTCTGCCCCCCGAACGCGATCATAACCCGGAGGTTTACCTGCAAACGGCAGTAATGGTAGCATTTGGTCAATACAACGCTATACAGTGTACAGTGACAGCTAATCAATGACAGTAACAATACCTCCTTCAGTGTAAACCGAACCAAATCTATAATAAGACATTTTATACATAAGACAATTAAGTAATGTCTGAGAGCCCTCCCGATCGACACGAAACTCGCCGGACGTCGTGTAATAATCAGTTTCTTTGATATGAGTTCCCCTATCAGTGCTTCCGCCGATCCGAACCATCCATAAGAACTTATTTATATCATCGGAGGAATAACCGGTCAAACCTCCAAATATAACCAACACATAGTTTACATCTAATTCCCTCATTATCTCGTAGGCCTTATCTTCAGGTGAGGCCATGGCCTGACCCACACGTGATATATGAGTGTTATTCCAAGTGTTATTATCCACAAGAATGGTTCGGTTGGCCATCGCTGTTATCTGATAGCCGTAATCCCACCTATCGATCCACAAACAAGTCACACATGGAAGCACTCATATTATTATTGCATACAAACCAAGACATCACTTTCGCGTCTTCGGCCGTATTTTGTCTCAACCAATAATATGCTTCCCGAAAGTCATCGAATATAATACGGGAGCCGTCGTGACTGCGGGCCGACAACACGATCGATGGCGACGAGTAGGCTTCAGATGTAACCCAAATGCAATGGTAGGTATAGGCCAACAGTAGGCCAGTGGTGACCAACACGAACATTGAGGCCACTTCGTGTCGCATCACGTAATTAGTCTCATGTCTGCGCATCTTCTTGTCGGACGACTGTGTGCTCAAAGAGGGCTGACTATGAGAGTGGTTGTGATTGTGAGCACTCGTATTAAGACTAGAGCTGCCAACAGAAGACGTTGTGTCCAATTGTTTGCAATAACGGCTCAGCATTTGGGAGATACCAATACCCGATAAAATACACATCACTGGTGCCAACACTAACATCAACCGAACCATTACTCCCTAAAAAATCAATCATAAAGTGACCATATATTGGGGTTTAGAGAATAACAAATTGCCAAATTGACCATATACATGAGGCTACCATTTCTTATTGTCAATACAATTAACTATTATGTAATATAGTTTAATGCAAATGACAGCAAACATTGTCTTTAAATTGAGTCAATTGCAGGCAATATTACGAGAAATGTGTTGAAACTTACGGCAAAATAAATACTCGTCACTCCATAAAGGATTATAAAGATATTTGCATCACTCAAGCGACTGAAGCAGAAGTAGAGACCCACTGGAAACAGGAAGACCAACAATTGGAGGTCGAAGTAGAACGACGACCACGACGTCGGCTGATGTTCGGACACCGACGCGATAATTGGGATATTATTCTTGGCGTAAGACGGGTCCAGAAGCGAGTAGAAGCGTCCGGTCCAGGGGCTGATCTCTGCACAATACATGACAATCATTACATTGTATTCTTATCACACCTGATGTGGTCTATTATCATCTCTTACTGCCGATCACTGTGAGGAATATACCGGCGCTGAGGGCAACGAAACCAATTAACAATACCAGAGATCGAAACAAAATGTCATAGAATTGTTGCGAGAGTTTTGATTTGAGGAATTGGTTGAAAGCCAAGAGTTGACACAAACCAAAGACACCGGCGGCCGCCATGTGTTCAGATGAGGTGACCGGTTGGAAACCCACGAACGGAATTTGCATCGATAACAAAGTGCCCAAACAGTACACCTGAAACACATATCATCACTCATTGGTGGCAAAGAGTCATACAATTGTCTTACAGTTGAGTACGCGATGTAAATACGATGACTGAAACGACCGGTTATGATGAGAGCCAATACGTGAAGTGGTATGAGATTAATGAGGAATACATATCCGCCCCACGAAGAGACCATATAGAAGTAGGCCAGAGAACACAGCGATGACCAGTACACCGATCCACTCTTCACTGACTTGATCCACAGATAATATGTCAAAAGCATACAGAATATAGCGATTCCCTCGTTATCGTAAGAACCGGCCACTGATCGCGATATATATCCGGGAACTATCGATATCATGGCTGCGGCCACAAGACCTGACGCGTCGTCACTCAACTCTTTGGTCAACAAATACGTGACAATTGTTGTGAAAGAGGAGAAGAGTGGCGCCAAAAAGACACACACATTACGGATGTCTATCGGAATGTTGAGGTATTGGAGGCCATGATATAGGGCTGCAGAGGTGACCATAAGGCCGGGGTATATCGTGCCGCCGATGATTCTGCCCAATGGATACCACGCCCTGTCGTCGAACCAATTCAAGAAGCTGTAGAAACCCTCTTCCGTCAGGAAACGTGTCGTTCGGTAATTGAAATACGGATCAAATTCATGGATCACTGATTCAAACCTCAACACCGAAAAGAGGCGACACGAGAACGCTGTGGAGGAAGACATGACATTAACTGAGCTCTGATCACAGCATTCACAGCACTTACAGAGGATCGCAGCCAACAACAGGACTGTCGTCTTCAGAAGTCTGTCCTTAGAGTCATCCGACAAGAGTCGTGACCAGAAGTGACGGGTCTTGTAGTTAATAGCAGTCATGATGTGAATCAATACCACGTGTAGTGATATTACCGGTGGGTATAATCACTGTCACTAAAGGCTACGTTTCCATCAAT